GTCGATTCCCCATTATAACCCAAATGGCACGTGACATTTTATCTATGTCAGTTTCGACAATTGCATACCATTCAACATTCTCAATTAGTGTTCACATTGTTGAAGACAAAATATGCTCTTTAACCAATGAGATGGTTAAAGTCATAACATGTCTGCAGAATTGGACTCATGCAGAGAGAAGACTACAGTAGCACCTTGAAAATCTCGAACTACTCGACCTCTTCAGAAACACATATTTGGTCGATGTAAATTAATTTGATAAAAAGAAATTTATTTACTTGTTTATTTGTGAAGTGTGAATATTATATTTATGTTAAAATTAAATTATCTCTTTAAAGTTTAAATTAAAAAAATGCTAAATTTAACTATTTATAACCAATTAATCATTCATTTTTATTTAATTATTTATTTACTAATTAATTAAAAAAATCAAAACACCCCCTAAAAAATTACATAGACCCCCCTAATAATTTCGATTTAGCCCCAAATATATAAAAAAAAATTGGGGATATAAGTAATTTTTCAAGCCCATAGGACCGGTCCAAGCCTTGATTATATCTCATGGGCCTGGGACCGGTCCTAGGCTAGGCCCATGAGATGTGGTCCTTGAAGGACCGGTCCCATTTTGGGACAAATCCTTCAAGGCCCAGTCCCGGCCCTAGCAGGGACCGGGCCTTGCCTAGGTCTACATCTAGATTAAAGATCCACACATCCTCTAACAAATTATAACATTGATATTGATATTAATAAATTATTTAAGACTTAAGTTTTTTTTCAAGGGATTTAGAAATTAATCTCTCTGCTGAGCTTTTAAATGAGATGTGCATAAAGAAAAAAAAAACAATTAGATTTATAATAAGGGTCTTATATATATATAGTATATATTAAAAAAAAATTGATTTAATATAAAAAAATACTAGTAATTGCGAAAACATTGTATACAAATTTCTGGTATATGTAATATTATATATATAACATGTTTGGTAGCCAAAAAAAAAAAATGGAATTGTTTTATTGGTGTACCTTCCATTGGATTTTATTGATATTATTATTATTATAGTTTATTTTGGTTTTGTTCGTTAATATTCCTCACAATATAGAATGAATTTTATATCGAATCTAATAACTAACTCTAGATTTAAAAAAAAAAAATAAGCATCTAAACTATATATAAAAATAAAAAAATATATATAATTCATCATTTTTCATAATGGGCTTAAAAATGAGACCCAAAATTTATAGATTGGGCCTATTTTTTGAAAGTTTAGTAACAAAATATATACATATATATAATTTGAGGTTTAAGCCTACCCTCACAAGGCCGGAGTCCGCCCTGGTGCCACCTTATACTACAAATAAATAGAAGATTATATGAAATTACTGAAGGAAAATTGATACATGCAACTCAAAGTTGGTTACAGACTAACATACACCAATTTCCTGCTGCCAAATTTCTAGTTTTTTCTATGCTTACAGTTTACTGAAAATAATTTGTCACTTCTGGCAAATTATTAGAAGCATGCATCTTTCATAATTTAATGAAACCAATTCACAGGACCTGAACCACCACCAGGTGAAGATGGGCCAGCCAACTTTACTTGACAAGCAAAGGTCAGCCATATCGTCTTCATCGTCTAGTAGTTGTTCAAGTTCATCTCTCACCTAAAACAAGTGACAGCCACAGGATAATTAGATTTAATCTTCCTACTGCTTGCTGGATAGCCTTTCGAACACTCAGTTTCAAGGTTGCAAATTTAATGAATACTGTAGTTTTTCAAACTTTAGAAAGCTAAAGAGAAGTTTTACTTTATATGACACAGTTGAAAAATAATATTTATTGACAAGGAAATACAGGGGAAAACACAGGTAGGCAAAGAAATTGATTAAGAAAGAAAGTACTGCCCTTGGATATAAGTTCATCCATAGCCGGACAAGCAGCAGTTTCTAATTCTGTGGTACGTGGCTTCCAAAGCTCAGAATTCAAATGGAGACTCTACATAGCGTAATCTAAATCATTCAGATTTTCATTTTCTTAATCAATAGAATATGAAATTGGAATCGAACTCCAAGTTCAAGACAATGGCTTTCTCACGACCGATAATAGTGGAGGGGTACGAGAGCAAAGGATAGAGAATGCGAAGATGACGCGAGTGGATTTGGCAGCGGCGCATGATATCGTATTTGTCGACATCCAAAACGGTGCTCTGACCAGTAGAGTCCAAAAGTATCCAAATCCGAGACGACTGCGTTTTCTTCTTCGCCGGAACAGCCGCCTCTGGGTCCACCGGCACCACGTACTCGTGTTGCCCAACCATCACCTTCAGAATCACATCCCAGCCAAACAAACATCCATAAACTACCACTAAACAAGCAAAGAATCCTTCAAATTCTTTTTACATTCATCAACTACCACTGAACAAGCAAAGAATCCTTCAAATTCTTTTTACATTCATAAACCACCACTAAACAAGGAAAGAATCCTTCAAATTCTTTTTACATTTTCTTTTTTCCAAATTTCTCTTAATTTTGTTGTTATTACTAATGATACTGATCTCTGGAAAAGGTCTGGGAGATTGATGTTACATGAAGCGTAGAGGTAAGAGGTTACTTCATACCCATGTTGCATGAGACCAAGACAGTACTCAAAAAACTTGGTAGGCGTATATTTGCAACTGCCACAGTACTTGGAGAATGTTTCAGAATCAAATGCATTATAACAAGCTTGAGCCATTTCTCCATATCGTATTAGTTCAGATCTCAGGAGGGGATCCAAAGGGTCAAGCATACCTTCCCAATTCTCCACACCATGAGTTTCTAGCCAAGTGTCTGCTAGCTTGCTCTTGCCTTCTTTACCTGTGATAATTTTTGTATTATCTTCTTTCTCGTTCTCTCTTTCAAGCTCTGAAACCATGTAGCCATCATTCTTAGATGAAACTCTTACCTTTAATACATGTTAGTTTCTGTCTTCTCTTCTTTTTAGCCACGGAAATGACAATTTTATTGCTCTAATTGAAGTTCTGGTGGGATAATTTGAATGGGAAGGCCGCTTGCCTGTGTCTATTGCAGGGCAAGATCATTTTATGTAGAGGGGTCGCCATTGGTTTATTCTCCGAGTAGCTTAAGCTGATGGGGGAGTAATGAAAAGGCGAGGGGATTTTGGTGGGGAGAATTGAGTTAGTGTTGTAACATTTCTTAAGGACAAAGCTATATATATATGATCTCAAGGCCCCAGAGGCCTTTGGTTTAGGAAATGATGTATTACTAGAAATGTTATATTAATGGAAAGAAATATTATCTTGAAGATTACTAAGAATATTTAGAGAAATGTTTTTGGTTGGTTGGAATAAATTAGTGGGTATGGTATATTAATATGTTTGATTGGAAGGAATAGATTAGTAAGTATGTTGTTTAAATTACTGAATTATCTTCTAATTAAATATTATTATTAAGATTATTTATAACCCCCTACATTTAAATACTTAGCAAAAGCAACCCCGTAATAAAAGTTTGGAAAATCAACAATGCACTTCCACCAACTCAGCCACTGCCGGCCGCCGGCAACCATCGCCAGTTGCCGATAGTTGGCCACCTAGCAGCACACAGAAGGTCGGAAATGACCTCTGTGCATCGATATGGACATTTCCAACCAGAGACTTGGTCGGACCATTTTTCGGCTAGATATGTTACGATCTGGCCATTTCCAACTAGATCTTTGGTCGGAAATGGCCATATCGGCACACAACGTCCATTTTTTACCTTCCGTGCACCGTTCTGGCGGCGGTTGGTGAGGGTGGTGGCTTGGGTGGGCTACAGTTTGTTTTGAATTCAAAGGTAATTTTGTCCAAAAAGTTAATTAATTGGGGTAAAATTGTAAAAGCTATATTCATGTAAATTGATTTTAAAACAAAGGCTGAAAGGCATTATTGTTCAAAATTTTTATTGATAAGGGATAAAATTGTAACAAAAATAAGATTACAAAGTAATCTTACAATACCTAAGAAAATAGAGTTGATTAAATTACCTCAAATATTACCAATAGTAACTATTATTGTTATTAAAAGATTACCGAATTTTTATATTAATTGACAACCAAACGTGATAATCAAGTAATATAAAGTAACATAACTTCAATAATCCTATATACCTCCAAAGCCTCTGAAGATTATTTTATCTGGGCTTTGATGAAGCTTTCAGTACCCGTACTTTTAAATCATGAAGACTTTTCAGTATCATATGAACTAGATTTAAGATGTAAAATCAAAATTCTCAATTTTCCTAATTTAGAAAAAAAAAGATCCATCGTTTAAAAGGATAAAACTCCAAATAGAAAAAGAAAATCAAACATTAATTGTGTTTGCTTTTATATATACAGAATATGATATTTTCTTACAATCACACAACAAAATCGTGGACTCTAATAATTAGATATAAATAAAATCCTTGAATTGATCTAAACTGGTAGAATTAGAAACACAGTTTAATCAGATCTTAACTGGTACTGGAAAAGAGTATTTTGATTCATGCCGACGAGAGGTGTGGGAGAGGGTACACTTCAATCCAGCAGTGCTAACCAAGAACATTGATCAACATACAATGTCTGTTGCTCTTCAGTCTTCATTGGATATAATATATAACAGCTGAAGTTGAAACTGGTCTTTTGTAAAAATTTCTGAAGAACAATTATTTGATTAAAATTCTAATAGTTACAAGTATGATGTGTGAATGTACTTCATGTTAAGCTATTAATACCTATCAGAAGTATAAGAAGAATCAAAGACTGAATGGAAAAAAAGTGGGTTAAAAAGATAAAAACCATCTATGAACTGTTTTTCATAACTATTAGTATTGGTTCCTGAGATTGGTAAATCAGGAAACTGAAAATTCATGTAAATTTTGTTATATAACTTTGCAACTGAACCTTCCATCTGACATTAATATTATCCGAGAAAGGCAGATTTGTCCCTCTGAAATAACACCATGAAATGACAGGGGAACACCAATTTTGAGATGTAGCTATATTCACTTACTCCCTTCAAGGCATAGCAGCCTGACCAATTTTCATGCATAGCTTGAGTGTTGCAAATACAATCTGAAAAATCCTTTCCAACCATGAATATTCAAGATCCAACCAAACCCTTGTAACGAGCATAGGACATAAGGGATAAAAATGTCATTGCACAAAATATTCCTGTGACGATGACCACCTGCGGATATCAAAGAAAAATCATTCAATAATCTGACACAGAATTTAACTTTAAAATCAGCAGCTAAATTCACAAACTCAAAAAACTTTGCATACCCATTTAAACATGTATCCATGGTTATCATTCCAAGAATATGGGATATTCATGCCAAATATTCCACCTACCAATGAGTAGATGGATAAAGAGACAGTTCCTGAACTTAGAAAGAGCTCTAACTGCAGAATAAAGTGAGAAAAGATTAACAAAGGGAAAATAAAGCTCAGCACTAACTGAACAGGATGAATACTGTATCTATTCAATAGGCAAGATAAAGCACCTGAATCAGCTGATTACGATGATTATCCAGCTGCAAAAAGGATGTACAAGGTCAAATCTAATGCATGCACTACAAATTTGAAAATTTAGTTTTTAAGCTTTCAAATAATTTTTTATACCTGAATATTAATATAATCCTCAGTATCATCAATATACTCTCGCAGCTGCAAAAATATAAATTAAAGTTATCAAAAGCAATTGAGATGCAGAATGGAGAATGTAGAATGTCTCTTTATCTATCATAAATTCCTGGCTATTAAGCATCCCATGTATAGCAGCTGCAGGCTTGAAAAGTTCACGTAATATTCTGCAGCTTTTCAACTTGTTTCCAAATAAGGGCAATCTTATATGCCAATTATTAATGTAATCAGGCATATGAATGAAAAATAACAGATAACAATAATGTATAGCTTTTGCCCACCCATGGGGGTGATTTGACACCTTAGAAGATATTTGATCTACTTTTTAGTAATATAAACTGTTTCCCATTCAAAAAAAGAAAAAAAAGAAAAGAAAAACAATAACAGATTAAAGGAATGAATTACTGACTTCATGTGACATTCGCAATCACAAAATGGTTTGTTCTGCAGTATGGTTTCTCAACTATTCTCTGGTTATGTAAATGCATATGATAATAGAACTAATCCAGATGCAATCCCAATCAACCACAGTGAACCCGAGGAGGTCTCCACATTTATGCACCAATATAACATATGACCACAAATTTCAACTGTGATTGAAATAAAAGTTCTGAAGAGAGAACATAACTGAATAAAGTAAACAAAACATCCACATTACTTTATAACCAAGGGTGCCACCTTATTACTTCATATAAACAGAAGATTTTATAGAATTACTGAAGGAAAATTGATACATGCAACTCAAAGTTGGTTACAGACTAACATACACTATCAATTTCCAGCTGCCAAATTTCTAGCGCTTTCTATGCCTTACAATTTACTGAAAATTATTTGTCACTTCTGACAAATTATTAGAAGCGTGCATCTTTCATTATTTTATCCCCATGAATGTGTTCCTATTTGGTTTAACATGCAACATGTGTGACTCATGTTAAAAAAGAAAAGTAAGTAAACAAGATAATCAATATCTAAAAGGACAAAGACATACTAATCACCAAAACAAATAAATAAGATAAAAGCAAAAGAATGAACAGAAGCACACACCGTAGTTAATTTGTTCAACGTGCTATCAATTTGCATAAAGTAAGCCTGCAAAACAGAGTTGCTACCCTTTTTAGAATTTTGGATTTTAAAATATGAGAAGTACAAAATAAATAATTCCTATAACCTCTAGTAACATTTCAAGCTCCTCAACATCATTCTCATCTCCACGAATTGTAGCTATACTTGCTCTACTTGCTCTTGAAATCTTTGAACCTATTGTAGGGGATGCTGGAAACCAATTCACAGGACCTGAACCACTACCAGGTGAAGATAGGCCAGCCAACTTTCTTGACAAGTAAAGGTCAGCCATATCATCGTCATCATCAAGTAGTTGTTCAAGTTCATCTCTCACCTAAAACAAGTGACAGCCACAGGATTCATTCTTATCTATATGTGGAAATTTTATCGGATTAAATAATATCAGACACACAACAAAATTAATTTCCAGAAAGGTGGCACTGCTTGCTGGACAGCCTTTCGAACACTAAGTTTCAAGGTTGCTAATTTAATCAATACTGTAGTTTTTAATCAGCTCAACTTTGTCAAACTTTAGAAGGCTAAAAAGAAGTTATACTTTGTATGACACAGGTAAAAAATAATATTTTCTCCACTTTGAAAATATTTCTAAAGATCAGACCAGTTTCCATGCCCCAATCTTTGCTATTGCCAACCTGTCTTGCCATTTATGATAGCAGTCTCAAATTTTAATTCTACATAATAAGAAATTGCTCATTTAATATACAAATTCAATTTCTATGCTGCGTAAGATTAATATCTAATTCTTTTTCCCACAAAATGTGGTGAGTGAGAACTTTATTTTCTGGAATAGATCTATCAAGGTCAACTATCAACACCAAAAAGAAAAAAAAAAATTATCCTCATATTTTGGGTAAAATTATCAAAATAAGTATATAACTTTCAACATTGATTACATTCAAGATTCACCAATCCCCATAGCATATCTCTGTAGCTGATAATAATTTGTAACTTGCATTAAAGAATAACATTAAGCATTTAATGGAGCAAATACATAATGTTTTGCACACCAAAAGACACAACATTCATACCTTTTGAACACGGGCAGTTAACCTTGTCATTGCACTCTTCAATTTACGAACCCTGTCCAAATTACGGCTACTGATCTGCATGTTAATGCAGTTCAGACAAACCAATTTATGGAATAGAAACAAGCAAAGATGGCTAAAAACAAACAAGGATCAAAAGCTGGATATGGAAGCAAAAGATCGATGCTTTTTTCTTTCTAAAATATAAGAGATCAAGATAAAACAAATTTCTATGCCTAAGATAAGTTTAATTAAGCTTAACAGATTGAAAGCATGTATGCCCAACATGATTTACCAGTATTTCAATCGCTTCATGCATGAAAAAGTATTTGGAGCAAAACATTTCAATTAAATTGAAATGGAGGATCAATACTGAATGTGCATGTAACAATCATAAAAAAATCCAGAAAGTGAAACTTGATTCCGAAGTTATATCCCCGGTACCAAATACATCCATCACAAAGAGTCTATTCACAAAACATTTTGTTTATTCCTAAACAATAACCAAACGTCCTTGCCTGCACACACAACCTTCTAATAACTATTCCACAAACACACTCTGCTAATTTCCCAAAACTAACCTCTTTTTCATCTGAATCTCCGAAGCCTTTGACCATGAACCAATTTTTAAATTCTGTAAATGGACGAACTACCAAGTCTGTGTTTACAATTAAAGCTCTTATACCAGGGACTCGTAGTTGGGCATACACATATATTAGATGATATTCTAAAATCTAAACATGCAATGGCTCAAGCATAAGAGTAGGATAGAACTTTTACCATGTAATCTATAATCCAAATAATAATAGAAAACTAAATCAATTGAAAACAAAGAGAACAAAAGGAGAAAAAAAGAAGAACTAAAATTGAATCCCTAAACCTTTGACAAGCCGCTGCTGACAACAGAAATCCCGATACACATAATTCTAGGCAAATTGAGGAAATCTCTTGACAAGGAAATACAGGGGAAAACACAGGTTATTGCAGGTAGGCAAATAAATTAATTAAGAAAGAAGAAACAAAAGTACTGACCTTGGATGTAAGTTCATCCAAAGCAGGATAAGCAGCAGTTTCTAATTCTGTGGTACGGGCAGCTAAAAAACTACAAATGGCTTCCAAAGCTACCTCCAGCGCTCGGAATTCAAATGGAGACTCTACATAGCGTAATCTAAATCATTCAGATTTTCATTTTCTTAATCAATAGAAATTTCCGAGACGACTGCGTTTTCTTCTTCGCCGGAACAGACCGCCTCTCGATCCACCGGCACCACGTACTCGTGTTGCCCCATCATGTTTCTTAACATACCTTCAGAATCACATCCCAGCCAACAACATACATAAACTACCACTAAACAAGAAAAGATCCTTCAAATTCTTTTTACATTCATAAACTACCACTGAACAAGCAAGAATCCTTCAAATCTTTTTACATTCATAAACCACCACTAAACGAGGAAAGAATCCTTCAAATTCTTTTTACATTTCTGGAAAAGGTCTGGGAGATTGATGTACCAGAGCTAGAGGTAAGAGGTTACTTCATACCCATGTTGCATGAGACCAAGACACTCAAAAAACTTGGAGGCGTTATTTGCAACTGCCACAGTACTTGGAGAATGTCAGAATCAAAGCATTATACAAGTTGAGCCATTTCTCCATATCGTATTAGTTCAGATCAGGAGGGGATCCAAAGGGTCAAGCATACCTTCCCAATTTCCGCCCCAGAATTCTAGCCAGGTCTGCTAGCTTGCTCTTCCTCTTACCTTGTAATTTCTTCATTATCTTCTTTCTCTCTCTCTCAAGCTCTGAAACCATGTAGCCATCCTTCTTAGATGAAAAATCTACCTTTAATCATGTTAGTTTTCTGTTCTCTTCTTTTAGCCACGGAATGACATTATTGCTCTAATTGGAGTTCTGGTGGGATTTGAATGGGAAGGCCCTTGCTGTATCTGTTGCAGGGCAAGATCATTTTTGTTGAGGGTTGCCATTGGTTATTTTTCCGAGTAGCTTAAGCTGTGGTGGAGTAATGAAAAGGCGGGAGATTGTGGGGGAGAATGAGTTAGTGTTTAAATTTTTAAGGACAGAGCTATTATTTAAGGCCCACTTTGGTTCAGGATGTTATTAGATTATTAATAATAGAAAGAAGAAATATATTTAAAAATATTAAGTATTTAGAGAAATATGTTTGTTGATTGGAATAAATTGGTGGGTATGTTAGATCACAAACACTACGGACACCGAAAAAATTACATCGAAATTCTATACCGGCCTACGTTTAACGCGTGTCTGAATTTTTCATAATTTTTTTATAGTGAACAGCCATCATCAAATTTGGACGGCGTTCACTCACCATGGACGCCCGTCCTATTATATGGACGGGCGTCCATATACAAGGGACGGGCGTCCCCAATTAAGGAGCGCACGTCCATAAATAAAATACAATAAAAAATTTTATAAAACATTAGGACGGCCGTTCATAGGTTGTGGACGGCGTCCCTTATTTTGGACGGACGTTAAATACGGACGCCCGTCCAAACTTAATGTTTAAAAAATAAAATAAAAAATTTGGACGTCTGGAGGCGTCCCTTAATTTGGACGGGCGTCCATTCCAATGGACGCCCGTCCATACTTTTAATAAAAAAGAAAAAATTTTTAAAAAAATATTCGTTGCAAACATCTTCGTCTTCATTCCCATCTCCTCTCTTTTTCTTCGTCTTCATTGCCAATTGTGCAGTCCTTTCACTGCCTCAAATAATGACTGTGGTGTCTCTCTTTTTTATCTTCATTGCCAGTGGTGTGTCCATTTCTCTCCCCATCTAGATATACATGCACCAGTAGACACCAAGTCAAATTGGGTTTTGGTTTTCTCCCAAAACTTCGAGTTACCTCATATCAGTAATCTTCTCATGAACCTTAGGGTTTATAAGATCAGCTTTGAAAACAATCTTAATCAGTTGTAAAACCAACCTCCAGTGACATTTGATGAATTGTTGACAAAACCCATATGTTCCCAAAATATAAAACTTGAACTTTTGATAAATGAGAATCCATGGTGCAACCAAATCTGTCTAATTGCATCAGCGTTCCACAATGATTATGCTAATAGACAAGTTACTGCAACTGGACACATTAAACCTCTATAGTCTCTAATTATTTGTAAGTAATAAATAAAAACACCTTATGCATTTATTGAGATAGAGAAGCGAATTCAGATGAAAAAAAATACCTTCTAACACTTGTGTAAATGGGTCAAACTGAGACTGATCAAAAGCGGGTCGCTCTAAGACACCCTTGGAAGAACCAAACCTAGCTTCAAAGCGCCACAGAAAACCCTCCTTTCTTGTGTGGACCTTTGAAAGGGATAGGAAGTCGAAGCAGAAGTAGGAGGAATAAGAGAGAGGTTTGTTAGCCAAAAGATGCCACTGCCATAAATCAGTTTAACACAAGGAAAAGAGAGGAGATGGAGAGGGGAATGAAGACGAAGATGTTTTGCAACGAAACGAGTTTTTGTAAATTTTTTTTTTTTTTTTATTAAAAGTATGGACGGGCGTCCATTGGAATGGACGCCCGTCCATAATTATTTTTTATTTTAATTTTAAAACAAATTAAGTTTGGACGAACGTCCGTATTTGTGGACGCCCGTCCAGAATTAAGGGATGGCCGTCACAACTTATGAACGGCCGTCCATAATGTTTTACAAATTTTTTATTGTATTTTATTTATGGACGGGCGTCCTTTAAATGGGACGTCCGTCCCTTGTATATGGCCGCCCGTCCATATAATATGGACGGGCGTCCATGTGAGTGAACGGCCGTCCAATTTGATGGACGGCCGTTCACTATAAAAAAATTATAAAAAAATTCAGACGCGCGTTACACGTAGGGGTACAGAATTTCGGTGTAATGTTTTTCGGTGTCCGTAGTGTTATGATGTTAGATTAATATGTTTGGTTGAGAGGAATAGATTAGTAAAATGTTGTTTAAATTACTGAATTATCCTCTAATTAAATATTATTATAAGAGTATTATTTAAACCCCTACATTTAAAAACTTAGCAAAAGCAACCCGTAATAAAAGTTTGGAAAATCAAAATGCACCTCCACCAACCCAGCCACTCGACCCGGCAACCATTGCCAGTGCCGATAGTTGGCCAACCTAACGCACACAGAAGGTCAAAAATGACCTCTGTGCAACGATATGGACATTTCCAACCAAAGATTTGGTCGACAACCTTTTCGGCTAGAATTGTTACGATCTGGCATTTTCAACCAGCTCTTGGTCGGAAATGGCATATCGGCGCACAACGTCCATTTTACCTTCGTGCACCTTGCGGCGACGGTTGGGGGGGGGTGGGCTTGGGGGGGTATAGTTTGTTTTGATTCAAGGTAATTTTGTCAAAAAGTTAATTAATTGGGTAAAATTGTAAAACTAATTCATAAATTGATTTTAAAACAAAGCTAAAGGCATATTGTTCAAAATTTTATATTAAGGGATAAAATTGAACAAAATAAGATTACAAAGTAATCTTAAAATACCTAAAAAAATGAGGATGTCAATTACCAAAAATTACAAAATAAATATTGTATTAAAGATTACCGAAATTTTTATATTAATTGACAACCAAACGAAAAATCAAGTAATATAAATAACATAACCTCAATAATCCTATTAAAACTCTTCAAAAACCTAAAGTTTTATGGGCTTTGGGTAGCTTTCAGTACCCGTACTTTAAATTATGAAGACTTCAGTTACATATGAACTAGATTTAAGATGTAAATCAAAATCTCAATTTTCCTAATTTAGAAAAAAAAGATCCATCGTTTAAAAAGATAAAACTCAAATAGAAAAGAAAATCAAACATTAATGTGTTTGCTTTTATATATACAAATATGATATTTCTTACAATCACACAACAAAATGGGGACTCTCTAATAAAGATATAAATAAATACTTGAATTGATCTATTAAACTGTAACTGGAAAGAAGTATATTGATTCAGCCGAGAGAGGTGTGGGAGAGGGTACACTTCAACCAGCCAGATTAACCAAGAAACATTATAAAATATAAAAAACTGACGTTGTGAACTGGTCTTTTGTAAAAATTTCTGAAGAACAATTATTTGATTAAAATTCTAATGTTACAAGTATGATTGTTGATGTACTTCGTTAACTATTAATACCTATCAAAGAAGAACAAAGACTGAATGGAAAAAAAGTGGGTTAAAAAGTAAAAAACCATCTATGAACTGTTTTCATAACTATGTATTGGTTCGAGATTGGTAAATCAGGAAACTGAAAATCATGTAAATTTTGTATATAACTTTGCAACTGAACCTTCCATCTGACATTAATATTATCCGAGAAAGGCAGATTTGTCCCTCTGAAAAACACATGAAATGACAGGGGAACACCAATTTTGAGATGTAGCTATATTCACTTACTCCCTTCAAGGCATAGCAGCCTGACCAATTTTCAGCATAGCTTGAGTGTTGCAATACAATCTGAAAAATCCTTTCCAACATGAATATTCAAGATCCAACCAAACCTTGTAACGAGCATAGGACATAAGGGTAAAAATGCATTGCACAAATATTCCTGTGACGATGACCACCTGCGGATATCAAGAAAATCATTCAAAAATCTGACACGAATTTAACTTTAAAATCAGCAGCTAAATTCACAACTCAAAAAACTTTGCATACCCATTTAACATGTATCCATGGTTATCATTCCAAGAATATGGGATATTATGCCAAATATTCCACCTACCAATGGTAGATGGATAAAGAGACAGTTCCTGAACTTAGAAAGAGCTCTAACTGCAGAATAAAGTGGAAAAGATTAACAAAGGGAAAATAAAGCTCAGCACTAACTGAACAGGATGAATACTGTATCTATTCAATAGGCAAGATACACCTGAATCAGCTGATTACGATGATTATCAGCTGCAAAAGGATGTACAAGGTCAAATCTAATGCATGCACTACAAATTTGAAAATTTAGTTTAAGCTTTCAAATAATTTTTTAACCTGAATATTAATATAATCCTCCGTATCATCATATCTCTCGCAGCTGCAAAATATAAATTAAAGTTATCAAAAGCATAGAGATGCAGAATGGGAATTTAGAATGTCTCTATCTATCATAAATTCCTGGCTATTAAGCATCCATATATAGCAGCTGCAGGCTTGAAAAGTTCACGTAATATTCTGCAGCTTTTCAAATGTTTCCAAATAAGGGCAATTATTATAGCCAATTATTAATGTAATCAGGCATATGAAGAAAAATAACAGATAACAATAATGTATAGCTTTTGCCCACCCATGGGGGTGATTTGACACCTTAGAAGATATTGATCTACTTTTAGTAATTAACTGTTTCCCATCAAAAAAAGAAAAAAAAAGAAAAACAATAACAGTTAAAGGAATGAATTACTGTTGTGACATTCGCATACAAATGGTTTGTTCTGCAGTATGGTTTCTCAACCATTCTCTGGTTATGTATGCATATGATAATGAACTATCCAGATGCAATCCCAATCAACCACAGTGAACCGAGGAGGTCTACATTTATGCACCCATAACATATGACCACAAATTTCAACTGTGATGAAATAAAAGTTCTGAAGAGAGACATAACAAAAGTAACAAAACATCCACATTACTTTATAACAAGGGTGCCACTTATTACTCATATAAACAGAAGATTTTATAGAATTACTGAAGGAAAATTGATACATGCAATCACAAGTTGGTTACAGACTAACATACACTATCAATTTCCAGCGCCAAATTTCTAGCGCTTTTTGCTTAAATTTACTGAAAATTATTTGTACTTCTGACCAGTTCATCCATAGCCGGACAAGCAGCAGTTTCTAATTCTGTGGTACGTGGCTTCCAAAGCTCGGAATTCAAATGGAGACTCTACATAGCGTAATCTAAATCATTCAGATTTTCATTTTCTTAATCAATAGAAATTACTTGCTCTTTTATTGAACAAATCAAACTAAAAATAATTGAATTAATATTGCACACCATCTTCTTCACCTGCTTCAACTTCGTTATGCCCTCCAGCATGCTTCACGAATGGCATTCACAGGTGGAAGTCGCCTTTGAAGTTCCGCCACAACTGGAATCACGTTTTCATCCAATGGATCTCGAAGCAATACCTACCAATATTACAAAATGTTGATGCGTGATTTTTGACACCAACTAATCGACACGTGCATAACGTTGATTAGTCAAGAGACACACGTGATTATGGGTAGAATGTAGAGTAAATGCAATAAGAGCCTTTTAAAGTGGTTCGGATGCTAAGGTAGCAAGTCCTACGTCCACTGATTTGTATTAATATAGTGGGTCAGGTCGCAACAGCGGACTGACTTACAAATGATTGGTGAAAAGTAAATACGAAGTTATAAGAGAGAGAGAGGGCTAATTCAGAGTGTAAAATAGCCGAATCCTCTTAATGAAGGGGTCTTCCTCTTTTTATAGTGAGGTAAGTGCAAGTAATCATCATTAAATCCATGGGTTGGTGTGAATGTCAGGATTAAATCCGGCTTTATGTCACGTTTCCCACCTTCCAAACTGATTTCACGCAATTTGGAGCAGGGAGATGGACACGTGAGAGCTCCGTAGCTCTTGGCAGGCTTGACATGTGCTTACCGTTCTGACGGGAGCAGGTCACCCCCCCACCACGTGATTTCCTATGTCAGCCCTTGATTTCTCAAGCGTAACGCAAAACTTATCTATCACTATTACAAATATTCGAGAACAACTTGATTAAAATTCCAATAAAAAATTACCTCTCCAGAGGTGATAATTGCTTTGATATGCTGCAATAAACAGAAACTCAAACAAAATCATAATTAAATTAAAAAAATTGAACAAACACAGATTAAAAGACTATCAAAGAATTTAAATATGAAATTGAAATCGACCTCCAAGTTCAAGACAATGGCTTTCTCACGACCGATAATAGTGGAGGGGTACGAGAGCAAAGGATCGAGAATGCGAAGATTACGCGAGTGGATTTGGCAGCGGCGCATGATATCGTATTTGTCGACATCCAAAACGGTGCTCTGACCAGTACAGTCCAAAAGTATCCAAATCCGAAACGACTGCGTTTTCTTCTTCGCCGGAACAGCCGCCTCTCGATCCACCGGCACCACGTACTCGTGTTGCCCCATCATGTTTCTTAACCATCACCTTCAGAATCACATCCCAGCAAACAACATACATAAACTACCACTAAACAAGAAAAGAATCCTTCAAATTCTTTTTACATTCATAAACTACCACTGAACAAGCAAAGAATCTTCAAATCTTTTACATTCATAAACCACCACTAAACGAGGAAGAATCCTTCAATTCTTTTACATTTCTGGAAAAGGTCTGGGAGATGATGTACATGAAGCCTAGAGGTAAGAGGGTACTTCATACCCATGTTGCATGAGACCAAGACACTCAAAAAACTTGGTAGGCGTATATTTGCAACTCACAGTACTTGGAGAATGTTTCAAGATCAAATGCATTATAACAAGCTTGAGCCATTTCTCCTATCGTATTAGTCAGATCTCGGAGGGGATCCAAAGGGTCAAGCATACCTTCCCAATTCTCCGCACGGAATTTCTAGCCAAGTGTCTGCTAGCTTGCTCTTGCCTTCTTACCTGTGATAATTTCTCTCTTATCTTCTTCTCATTCTCTCTTTCAAGCTCTGAAACCATGTAGCCATCCTTCTTAGATGAAACTCTACCTTTAATACATGTTAGTTTTCTGTCTTCTTCTTTTAGCCACGGAAATGACAATTTATTGCTCTAATTGAAGTTCTGGTGGGATATTTGAATGGGAAGCCGCTTGCCTGTGTCTGTTGCAGGGCAGATCATTTATGTGAGGGTTCGCCATTGGTTTATTCTCCGAGTAGCTTAGTGCTGGGGGAGAGTAATGAAAGCGGGGAGATTTTGGTGGGAGAATGAGTTAGTGTTTTAACATTTTTTAAGACAGAGCATATATTTAAGGCCCACTTTGGTTCAGGGAATTGTATTATTAGAAATATTATATTAATAGAAAGAAAATTATCTTAAAAATATTAGAATATTTAGAGAAATATGTTTGATTGATTGGAATAAATTGGTGGGTTGTTAGATCAACACCTACGGACACCGAAAAAATTACATCGAATTCATACCGGCCTACGTGAACGCGTGTCTGAATTTTTCATAATTTTTTTATAGTGAACAGATCCATCAAATTTGGACGGCCGTTACTCACATGGAGCGTCCTATTATATGGACGGGCGTCCATATACAAGGGACGGGGTCCCCAATTAAAGGACGCACGTCCATAAAAAAATACAATAAAAATTTATAAAACATATGGACGCGTTCATAGGTTGTGGACGGCCGTCCCTTAATTTTGGACGGACGTCTATAAATACGGGACGCCCGTCCAAACTTAATTGTTTTTAAAAAAATAAAAAATTTGGAGTCTGGACGGCGTCCCTTAATTTGGACGGGCGTCCATCCAATGGACGCGTCCATACTTTTAATAAAAAAGAAAAATTTTTTAACAAAAACTCATTTTCTGTTGCAAAACATCTTCGTCTTCATTCCATCTCCTCTCTTTTTCTTCGTCTTCATTGCCAATTGTGCAGTCCATTTCACTGCCTCAAATAATGACTGGGGTGTCTCTTTTTCTCATCTTCATTGCCAGTGGTGTAGTCCATTTCTCTCCCCATCTAGATTACATGCACCAGTAGACACCAAGTCAAATTGTGTGGGTTTTCTCCCAAAACTTCGAGTTACCTCATATCAGTTCAATCTTCTCATGAACCTTAGGGTTTAGATCAGCTTTGAAAACAATCCTTAATCAGTTAAAACCAACCTCCAGTGACATTTGATGAATTGTGACAAAACCATATGTTCCCAAAATATAAAACTTGAACTTTTGATAATGAGAATCCATGGTGTAACCAAAATCTGTCTAATGCATCAGCGTTCCACCAATGATTATGCTAATAGACAAGTTACTGCAACTGGACACATTAACTCTATAGTCTCTAAATTATTTGTAAGTAAAAATAAAAACACCTTATTGCATTTATTGAGATGAGAAGCGAATTCAGATGAAAAAAATACCTTCTAACACTTGTGTAAATGGGTCAAACTGAGAATGATCAAAAGCGGGTAGCGTCCTAAGACACCTTGGAAGAACCAAACCTAGCCTTCAACAGCGCACAGAAAACCCTCCTTTCTTGTGTGGACCTTGAAAGGGATAGGAAGTGAAGAAGATAGGGAGGAATAAGAGAGTTTGTTAAGCCAAAAGATGCCACTGCCATAAATCAGTTTAACACAAGGAAAAAGAGAGGAGATGGGGAATGAAGACGAAGATGTTTTGCCACAGAAAACGAGTTTTTGTAAATTTTTTTTTTTTTTTTAAAAGTATGGACGGGCGTCCATTGGAATGGACGCCCGTCCATAATTATTTTTTATTTTAATTTAAAACAATTAAGTTTGGACGAACGTCCCGTATTTGTGGACGCCCGTCCAGAATTAAGGGATGGCGGCCAAAACTTAGAAAGGCCGTCCATAATGTTTTACAAATTTTTTATGTATTTATTTATGGACGGGCGGCCTTTAAATGGGGACGTCCGTCCCTTGTATATGGCCGCCCGTCCATATATATGGACGGGCGTCCATGTGAGTGAACGGCCGTCCAAATTGATGGACGGCCGTTCACTATAAAAATTATAAAAAAATTCAGACGCGCTTACACGTAGGCCGGTACAGAATCGTGTAATTTTTTCGGTGTCCGTAGTGTTATTGATGTTAGATTAATATGTGTTGAGAGGAATAGATTAGTAAATATGTTGTTTAAATTAATGAATTATCCTCTAATAAATATTATTATAAAGATTATTATAAACCCTACATTTAAAAACTAGCAAAGCAAACCCGTAATAAAAGTTTGGAAAATCAAAATGCACCTCCACCAACCCAGCCACTACGGACCACCGGCAACCATTGCCAGTGCCGATAGTTGGCACCTAACGGCACACAGAAGGTCAAAAGACCTCTGTGCAACGATATGGACATTTCCAACCAAAGATTTGGTCGACCATTTTCGGCTAGATTGTTACGATCTGGCATTTCGACAGATCTCTGGTCGGAAATGGCATATCGGCACACACGTCCATTTTTACCTTCCGTGCACCGTGCGGACGGTTGGTGGGGGTGGGCTTGGGTGGGCTTAGTTTGTTTTGCATTCAAAGGTAATTTTGTCTAAAAAGTTAATAATTGAGGTTAAATTGTAAAACTAGATTCATGTAAATTGATTTTAAACAAAGACTAAAGGCATTATGTTCAAAATTTTATTATTAGGGATAAAATTGTAACAAAAATAAGATACAAAGTAATCTTAAATACCTAAAAAATGAGTGATAAATTACTAAATATTACAATAATAACTATATTGTATTAAGATTACCGAAATTTATATTAATTGACAACCAACGTGAATAATCAAGTAATATAAAATAACATAACCTCAATAATCCATAAACTTCCAAAACCCTAAAGTTATTTTATATGGGCTTTGATGTAGCTTTCAGTACCCGTACTTTTAAATCATGAAGACTTTTCAGTATCATTGAACTAGATTTAAGATGTAAATCAAAATCTCAATTTTCCTAATTTAGAAAAAAAAGATCCATCGTTTAAAAAGAACTCCAAATAGAAAAAGAAAATCAAACATAAGTGTTTGCTTTTAATATACAGAATATGATATTTTCTTACAATCACACAACAAAATGGGGACTCTAATAAATAGATATAAATAAAATCTTGAATTGATCTAAACTTGGTACTGGAAAGCAGGATTTTGATTCATGCCGAGAGAGGTGTGGGGAGGGTACACTTCAATCCAGCAGTGCTAACCAAGAACATTATAAAATTAACAACTGACGTTGAAACTGGTCTTTGTAAAATTCTGAAGAACAATTATTGATTAAAATTCTAATGTTACAAGTATGAGTGTGGAATGTATCACTGTTAACTATTAATACCTATCAGAAGTATAGAAGAACAAAGACTGAATGGAAGGAAAAAAGTGGTTAAAAAGATAAAAACCATCTATGAACTGTTTTATAACTATTAGTATGTGTCCTGAGATGGTAAATCAGGAAAACTGAAAATTCATGTAAATTTGTTAATAACTTTGCACTGACCTTCCATCTGACATTAATATTATCCGAGAAAGGCAGATTTGTCCTCTGAAATAACACATGAAATGACAGGGGAACACCATTGAGATGTAGTATATTCACTTACTCCCTTCAAGGCATAGCAGCTGACCAATTTCGCATAGCTTGAGTGTTGCAAAACATCTGAAAAATCCTTTCAACCATGAATATCAAGATCCAACCAAACCCTTGTAACGAGCATAGGACATAAGGTAAAAATGTCATGCACAAAAATTCCTGTGACGATGACCACCTGCGGATATCAAAGAAAAATCATTCAATAATCTGACACAGAATTTAACTTAAATCAAAGAAAATCACAAACTCAAAAAACTTTGCATACCCATTTAAACATATCCATGGGATCATTCCAAGAATATGGGATATTCATGCCAAATATTCCACCTACCAATGAGTAGATGGTAAAGAGACAGTTCCTGAACTTAGAAGAGCTCTAACTGCAGAATAAAGTGAGAAAGATTAACAAAGGAAAGTAAAGCTCAGCACTAACTGAACAGGATGAATACTGTATCTATTCAATAGGCAAGATTAAAGCACCTGAATCCGCTGATTACGATGATTATCAGCTGCAAAAAGGATGTACAAGGTCAAATCTAATGCATGCACTACAATTTGAAAATTTAGTTTTTAAGCTTTCAAATAATTTTTTATACCTGAATATTAATATAATCTCAGTATCATCATATACTCTCGCAGCTGCAAAATATAAATTAAAGTTACAAAAGCAATGAGATGCAGAATGGAGAATTAGATGTCTCTTTATCTATCATAAATTCCGGCTATTAAGACGTCTAGCATCAGCTATAGCAGCTGCAGGTGAAAGTTCACGTAATATTCTGCAGCTTTTCAACTGTTTCAAAAAGGCAATCTTATATGCCAATTATTAATGTAATCAGGCATATGAATAAAAATAACAGATAACAATAATGT